AGTAACTGGTTCCGTTGCTCCAGGGCAGTGATGCTTTCTTGCAACTGACTAACCATACCCATCAATTCCTGCGTCGTCGGGCCTTGCTGTTGCCCTCCTCCTTGGGCACTGGAGCCCTGCTGCGGAGTGCGCGGTGAACTTGAAGTAGTCGACATGATGGATGGTTATAACTGGTGAACACTCGTACTGACTGGTGCTCAATGTGTCAAACCCTAGGATCGCTTCTCTGTCCCGGTTAGCTTAGCTTCACTGGTATACGTACCGTCGAACTGGGTCGAGGAAGTATCAGGCTGATGACTATCTAAGGACAACTGGTCTTGGACACGAGAAGAGAAGTAAGGCCAGATAGTGCCGCGCAGCTATCCGTAAGTAAGTGCGGACGAGTGTTCTATCGCTAAGCTTCCAAATGTATGGTTACTTAAAGACAGTGTTATTGAGCACGAAGAACAGAACTAACTAAGTACATGAAGGAGTGTCCTTATATATCCTATCCTCCGTATACCATATCATATACCATTAGGTCTGTCGTATACCGCCATGGTAGTTGTAGACCGGGATGGTATACCATATACCATAGATCCGTGTGTATACCGTGATCACGTGATGCGTGGCCGTTCTGGGCGTCGTAAAGGTAATCGGGAATTGTACTAAATAACAACTTGGCTTTGCCCGAGCGCTGCCCTTATCGGCGCTTTCTGCCTGGCGAGTCCGCCTTACTAGTAGATTAACTAGCAGGGGTCCGTAACACTGTTCTAATTATTAATAAAACAAGAGATATATATAATTTTTATTTTCTGATATAATATATATATATATATATATAATCTTTTACTTTGAATAATTTTATTTATATAATCTATTAAGGATTCTATATGATTAAATTCAGAATCCTGCGTTACTGCTATTTTTACTAAGATTAACAATTAAGTTAAATAAATCTTTTCAAAATTTAAGTTTTCAATTATATTATAATTATTCATAGTAAAGGATTTTAATAATATCTTTTTTAAATAAGCTTAATTATATATAATATCTAGCTGGAAACTTTGAAAATTATCTTTATGAAATTATTATATCAAATATTCTATTCATTTTAGCTTTTATAAATAACTGCTACAGCAGTTTACTGCTACTAAAATGAATAAACTTATATCAAAGCATAAAAACAATACTATGCTTCTGACTAAGAATGACTAGTCTCAAAAAATAATATAATAAGTTATGTAATAAAAATATATAATAACTATTATGTATTTCATTTTACTTGTCTATATTTAATATTTGTATATATATATATTTCAAACTTCCTCCTTTCTTATATTTATATTTAATATTCTAGTTTAAATATTAATAACATACATTCAACCAGCTGGCATAATTATAGTTAATATCACTTCAATAATTAATACAGGTCTAGATTACAGCCTGATCATTAATGAAAATGATTATTTTATATATGATTAATAAGATAAGAGAGTCATGGTTATTGATAATATAAATTTAAAATATAGCTATCTAATAAGACAGGATCATATGGTTTTAAATGAGTTTCCTAATATTTGTTATATAGATATTATCTCAAGTCTGCAGAATAACTAATAATATAAGATCTAATAATAATTATTGTTTTGATGCCACCATAGTAATAATAAATACTGATTTACTCAGAACTGATCACTTTCCACCCATAGATTTGAAAGACTCATATTTTAAAAAGTTTAGTCATATAATCTTACCTGAATCATATGACTAATAGCACTGCGCGAATCGTCTAACCTGCCGGGTTGCAGCCAGCCGGCTGCTCCGCTTCTAACAAATAGACGAGCAAAAAGATACACAAGTAACATTATAAGAATTGCATTAACGAATATTTGCATAAGAAAGGTCAGATCAAATAGCTCCATTTTACGGTTAATGCCTTTTATTGTAAGTATAACATATTGAATATATGTAAGATTGTAAGCTTACCACTAAACCACTAGCGCTTGTTAATGACTGTTGGAGCACACCTCCGGACATCCTTTTGCCAATATGAAGTAGATGGTTATATGTAGGGGAAATGATGACTGGGACCTTACTCAGCTGAGTGGGCAAGTTGTTTAGGTTGCCAAATTATCAGAATCAGTACGAGCGAAGCAAGCAGTTATAATTGTCTGTTGGTAATCCGTATATAGATTATCATATTAAATATATTCATTGCCTGTACTATATCTATGAAGGACGGATGACGGCTGATTGTCCGGCTGTTGATCAGAGAACTGTAAGTACATACACCCCACTAGTTGTTATTCATGCAAGGGTCAACGGATCCACTGCATCACAACTCTCATCGACGGCTAAGTACCCTCCCCCTCCCCCTTCCTCTCTGTGTACAATACGTTGTCTAAGGAGGTCATGAAGGATGCCCAGTCTGACTTGTCAGGCAACAATGGAATCTGTGGGGCTCAGTGTCAGCTACTGTATATTAGGCTGCGATGCAGCAACAGATGATCTGACTTTTGTTAAGTCCGTCCACAGTACGAAGATAGTCATAGTTTTCAGCCTAACATGCCGGAGAAAGCCTACCAAGTCACAAGAAGTAGCCATTGGTGGGTACACCGCTAAACGGAATTGGTGCCCCTCAATGGATCCCAAACAGACAGCCAACAGCCTTTGCGCTCCACCCCCCTTTTTCTATTTATTACAGAGTAATCAGTACTCGACCCCGCTTTTCCCATGGCTGTTGTCGTCATGTGGTAGATCATTTACCAAACCCTCTCATCATATGGCTTTCCCATAACATCGTATCATTCGCTGTCAAAGCGCCAGGCCGTTCCTTCTGATTCATATTTGACTTGTAATTGCTCAAGCGCTAGGTCACCAGCCTCAACCTCTGATCTTGCTCCCAGCTATCCGGTGTTAGGCGTTTGGGATTAGACGCTGGCACGGTTCCCCTTTACTGCCACGCGCCAACCCCGCATGAACAATGTTGATGTATTTCATTACTGCTACTAGTAGTTCCCATCCGGCACATTGACTCATACGCCTGAGTGCCGGTTCTTACCCGTCGATAGGAACCAGCTCGCTGTCCTACAAGTCTTAATTGATTCTGCTCCTCAAGGAACCCAAATTTTCGAGTAAACTTGGACACGCAATACGGAACACCAGGAAAAATAGATTGATTACTCATACTCAGTAACTCTAGCCTACTCGGCCATTGTGAGCCTTATCGCCGAGACCCAACCAATATCCATTTATTGCCACCAGACAAAGAGGCGGCCCTGACAAATCATTTGCACGTGTGTCTGCCAACATTATTGCCAAACATCTGTTCCATTGACTTCCATATCACCATCTCATCAGCGTACAAACGTTCTTTCGCCTTCAAACAGATGACTGCCTGAAACTGACCTCAGAAGCAGATTTCGCGTTGTATTTATTCTCAGCTAGTCGTCCCATCACACATTCTGCTCACTTTCCCATTGTGAAGCAATCAAACCATCAGATTGTTTCAGGCGATGACCTCATTCACTGCTGCTTCTTTGACCAGTCGTGGTAATAAGGTCAATATGAGTCGTCTGCCGTCTGTTTCGAGTTTAATGTCCCCCCCAGAGACTAAGCCCCTCGAGAGCTTCAGTCCCACCACAATCTCACCGTATACAATGGCTCAGGATCCGCCGTATAACCATGAAGTGAGGCTTCCTCCCATGCCGAGTGATCACAAGCGAACACAGTCGGAAATGAACTTGCCATCGCCGCCAGTCACTCCCTATACTGGGAATAAGAAACGGCGATCGAATGGACCAGAACCGATTGATAAGGATGCCGTCGTCGGTTCCTCCAGGGACCCTGTTCTCTTTCCCCGCCACGAAGGCCTTACTGATATTGCCACTGATGAGCCGTTGTTTGGGTCCATGCTCCCCCCATCTGCGGAAGCGTTGGTTGACCAGCATATAAATTCTCACATGGCGAGATTTGAAAATAAACTTAACAAGCCGACGCGTGACGAATATCTTCTAGCTCTTTCATGCGTGCCGATTGTATCTGCCCAATTTAACCGGAACCCAGCAGCATGGGCTAGGGAAGAGCGGGAGACCTTAGAACGCCAGCTTTTGATGATGAATCGGTGTCGTCCACGTGCTATGGATGCGAAGCTGAAGAAGATCGCTCCGGCTCCTGCAAAAAGGGCAGTTGCTGCCCAGCCTCGTCTGCAACGGACACCAAGGGTAAAGCGGACGCCAAAGTCCACACCGAAGCAAAGGATCCTCGATACATTTGACTCACCCCCGTCGAGTGCCAAGCCGCCTCGCGCCATAGGCACAAACCGGGATGATACAGATTACAATTCCATCAAGGACTATTGCCCCTCAATAGAGACCCTTGGAGGCAACGCAAAGGCACTAAAGGCAGATTGGAAAGGCCAAGTGTTAGATCTTAGCCATGATCCGGATCGGCATTTGCTGAGCTCTGCAGAGCTCAACCTTGCTGCCACTTTAAGGCTTTCATGTGCGACCTACCTATGCAGCAAGCGTCGCATTTTCGAAGCCCGCGTGAAGGCTTTGAATGTTGGTAAGGAATTTCGAAAGACCGATGCTCAGCAGGCTTGCAAGATTGATGTCAATAAAGCAAGCAAGCTCTGGACGGCGTATGAGCGGGTTGGTTGGTTCGATCCCGAACATTTTCGACAGTATCGAAGATAATATGCTTGGAACTGTTGAACCCTGTGGATCCCGATGACCTGCCTTCCCCATTGATATACTGGTAATGATGCGTCAGAGACGTGGTCGCATGCCTGTACCATCATTAGTCCAATTGCATTTCTCAACTCACAACTTTCGCGCCCGTCAATTAGCCATCGGATATTGGTACGGTACTTACATTTGTCACTGAGCATAGCTGGATTCTCTGCAACAAGTGGCAAGGCTGCATACGGTGTTATATTGCTCTTTCTTTTCCCCATTTGCCTTTCGCTGCGTTAGGCCATCAAATACGGATGTTATTGATTCGATTCAACACCTGGCGTCTTCAGACAGCTTTCAATTACCCTTGCTTTTTTTTTTGTCTGGCGTTATTGTTTCTCAAGGGCTGGAACAATTGGCTGCGATAGGTTAGGTTCTGTCTCTCATGTCGTTCTCCCGATCATTATGCCGACGGCTTGCCATGGCGTCTAGTTTTCATTAGAGTGGTAGATTGTTTCTCGTTGCTCAATTGACATGTTTCCAACAATAAGTTTACAGTGGGGTAGCATAGTCAGTATTGTAACAGTGACAATTCATGCACTGCTTTTGAGCGGATCAGAATCTTCGGAGCGTCCGAGAACAAAAAATAATGTTCATGACAATGTAACAGTATCCCCCAAGCGGATGTCGGGATGTCAAAGCCCGCCAATTACGCAATCCCGTCGCCTGCTAAGCCTGCGCCACCATCATTCACACTCACTCTCTATCCATCTTTATAATTACTCTTTCAAAATATCACTTCTTCTACTGCTTCTGCAACTGCTGTAGTAATTGCCCAGGCCATTTAATGGATGATTTGAACAACAATGTCCCATCCCGAAGCGACCCGTGCGGAGTCTTTGGACGAGCAAGAACATAGGGGGGGAGCTGACGATAAGAAGTCTAAGAACAGGAGACCAGCAAGTGAGACTTTTGCCTCGTTGTGAATGAGATGGACCATTCTTTACTAACTCTAGTCTATTACCACAGATACTGCGTTCAGACAGCAGCGCCTGAAAGCCTGGCAGTAAGTTACTTTGATGGTATACTTTGCCCTCGTGCTGACGCATATAGACCAATATTGACCCCAAAGAGCGTACTGCCTCTTTTTTTTGTTATTGGTGTGATATTCGCCCCCATTGGTGGTCTCCTGCTATGGGCCAGTTCACAGGTATGTAATACCTCCCATAGAGTTTCTTCTCAATAACCGACGAGCGATCACCAGGTACAAGAGATTGTCATAGACTATTCTGAATGTGCTGAGAAGGCGCCCACCTCCTATGCAGCCTCTATTTCGGACCAAGTTAAATCTTCGTTCAAATCATCAGGCGATCATTCCATTCCAACGTGGCAAAGATTCAATGAGAGCGGAACTACAGTCTGTCGATTGATGTTTGAGATTCCGGATACCTTGGAGCCGCCTGTGCTTCTATATTACCGCTTAACGAACTTCTATCAGAACCATCGGAGATACGTTAAGTCCATGGACACAGATCAGTTGAAAGGAAAAGCAGTTGACAACAGCACCATAGATGGTGGCTCTTGTGACCCCCTCAAACTTGACTCCTCAACTGGCAAAGCATATTATCCATGCGGCCTTATAGCCAATTCTCAATTTAACGATACCATCCGCAGCCCAAAGCTTATTAACAATGGTGTGACTGCTGAGACCTACAACATGACTAATAAAGGCATTGCTTGGGACAGTGACAAGCAGCTCATCAAGAAGACTCAGTATAATAAATGGCAGGTGGTTCCTCCGCCTAATTGGCACGATCGATACCCTAACGGTTATGTCGACGGTATACCTAATCTTCATGAAGACGAAGAGTTTATGGTATGGATGAGAACTGCTGCGCTGCCGGCTTTCAGTAAGCTATCCCGCAGAAACGACACAACGGCAATGACTGCAGGAATCTATCAATTGGACATTGAAGACCGTAAGCTTCCAGATCCAACTCAACATCAAGGTCAACGCTAAAACGCGCACAGGCTTCCCTGTCACCGAGTACGGAGGTACTAAATCGATACTCATATCAACACGGACTGTGATGGGCGGGCAAAACCCATTCATGGGTATTGCCTACGTCGTTGTAGGTGGACTATGCATTGTTCTCGGGGCATTATTCACCATTGCACATCTTGTTCGGCCGAGGTAAGGAGATTCGGTGAACTTAACGTGTTTTGTCCGTGCCTAGGCTGATTTATTAGGAAACTTGGCGACCACACTTACCTGACCTGGAACAATGAGCAGGAGAGCTCGGCTGTGGCAACCGGACGGGATGGCAGATTTGGTTCTCATGCTACTTGAGAAGCATACTTTCACCTTCCCCTTCACTTATTGTTCATCGATGTTGGTTCTGCTCATGCTCTTCTTGGTCTACGGACCTAACTTACAGTGTTGTTTTACTAGGCGTTTGTAGGTGGCGTTCCTAAACAGGATCTGATACCCACAGGTATCTCCCGTGGGCCTATGTTTTATGATAGTTTTCGACACATCCGTCTATCTAGGAAAAATAAACCGCACCTGCTAGTCGCTGTGCCCTTCCTATTGGCGCGATCTGGGAGAGTGTCAATCTTCTCGGCGAAACGCGTGTATCCCTTCTGTGGGACATTTCCCTGGCATGCAGCATTCCTGACACGGGGGATTGTTTGGGATCTTTACAGATTCCACGTAGCGGTTGGCAATGTGGCTTATGATCTTATATCTCTCACCTCGTCTCTTGTCTTCGGTGCAATAGAAAATCTTCACTGCCTTATACACAATATGACATTGTTACTCAACTTACACGCGCTCTTTACCGCCATTGTTGTTGCCAATCTTTCAACCAGATGCAGCGCACTGCTCTCTGGACGTGACTTTTGCTCCACACCGGCGCCCGATGAGTCACTCCGAGCAGAGCACAGGAGATTGTATGATCTACAGGCCCAACGTGGCAGCACCGCTGAGGAAAGCCGGGAGGTGGTGTCTATGATTGAAATCGAGACATGGTTTCATATCGTAAGCAGCAATGAAGCATCCAACACAGTATCAGACGACATGATCACCAGTCAGGTCCGTCACCGTTGATTTGTTGACTTATGCCTGCGCAATATCCTGTTTTGGACTAACAACTTCTAGCTTTCCTATCTTCAGAAGGCATATGAAAGTGCGACTATCAGCTATCGGTTGGAGGGCATTACTCGCCATATAAATGACTCTTGGGCGCGGAATGATGACGAATTGGGGATGAAGAATGCCCTACGAAGGGGCAATTATAGTACTTTAAATGTCTATTTCCAAACAGATCTTCAGGCGTCTTCCGACGACACTTCTCGGGGCTTTCCCTATATCGGCAATCGACGAACAGATGTCTCGGATCAATCATCAACAACTGTCCTTGGCTTCTGTACGTTGCCTGACCCGAGCGTGAATTCCAGCAGCCCTCGTTCTAGTTACATCAAGGATGGTTGTAACGTGTTAGCCGATACCATGCCGGGTGGTAGTTTAGCGCAGTACAACCAGGGCGGCACAGCGGTTCACGAGGTTGGCCATTGGAATGGGCTGCTGCACACGTTCGAAGGTGAATCGTGCTCCCCTGATAATGAAGGAGATTACATTGATGACACCCCTGAGCAATCTGAGCCTACGAGCGGATGCCCCGCCGAGAAGGATTCATGCCCAGATCTTCCTGGCCTTGATGCAATCCATAATTTTATGGACTATTCATCTGATGACTGTTATGAGAGTTTTACTCCAGATCAAGCTGAGAGGATGAGGAGCATGTGGTCCGCTATGCGGGAAGGGAAGTGACGGACGCATGCAGGGGTATATATAATTTGCACATATACCAGCTATAGATAGAAAAGAATGGCAGCACGAATATTAATGTCTCATTACTGGCCCCTCGAGTTCCTTGGGAACTGACGATTACAATTTATGAACATCTCGTACAATTCAAGTATTAAATAGCGATTGATGCAAATTAAAGGCCACTTGTTCGAAATTCACAGCTAGCTGTCATGTAGTATGCGGGATCAGATCATCGCTTGCGCTTTTTCCCACGATCTTCATCATCCAGACCACTTTCCCTGTCCTTTTTCTTTGCCTTCGTTTCGAGTTCGTCCCAGTCTTCGCCACTCTCTTCATCGGCACTGAAGTCATCGCTAGCCTCGGCACTGGCATCATCGTCGAATTCACTGTCGTCTTCTGAACTCTCGTCGGCCGCCGCCAGCTCTGATTCAGAAAGCTCAAACGCGGACTCCTCGTCTTCGTCTGATCCGCCCTCTGAATCCGACTCTGCGGCCAAGAATGACCAGCCCCCATCAGCGAAGAAACCGTATGGGTCACTTACGACTGTCTTCATGATTGTTGTCCAGTTTAAGTTCAGTGGACCCTCTGTGAATGCGATATCAACAGAATCTAGCCAGTCTTTAACACCCTCTAGCGATTCAACAGGGATTGTATTGATATGAACAGGGGCCCTGTGGAAATCCTTGAAAACAAAAACCAGGTCAAAGTTTTTGAGTCCAAACTAGTGACATTAGCAGCAGGAAAATACCAGTGGTAAAATTCGCACTTACCTGTACTCTCTCTAAATGAGCAATTTCTACCTCATTCAGAGTAATCACCAGGAAGGGCGGCTCTGTCAATTGGACGAGAGCATCTGTTGTGGGTTGGATCAAAACGTTAGAGCGGTTTGGTACGCCAGTGAAACCAATTTCTCTGAAAGGGATGTCAACATCCACGCTTTCGTCTTTTCCGGCATCTGCAATCTTTTCGGCGAAAGCCTTGAACTCCCGATCCAGAGCGGCTCTCCGCCGTCTCTCTTCCTGTTCGGCTTCGAACTCCTCTTCATCCCCATAACGATGCTTGCGCCTACGATTGCCGGTTTCATCAAACTGCATTTCGGTTGCCTCCCGGTAGAACTGCACATCTCTGGTCTTCCTTTTCCCTATCATGATAGGTGTTTTCAGATGAACATGTATCAGAACAATCAATTCGTGAGCGCAAGGTTGGAAAAACAAGTGCTTCACGTTGCTGAACAGGACATCTACATGTTCATTTCGAAAAGGTGACATGTAACGAAGACCGTTCTGATGGATCTCAACTTCCCCTGGAACACGTTTACCATCCAAAGGAGGCCGAAGGTATACATCAGGCAGTTTTACAGGACGACGATCTAACCTAGTCAGTTCCCGTGCATTCAGATGGTTGAGTAGCAATACTTACTCCTGATTTCAACCAACTTGTCTTGTTCTACCACATCTTCCATTTCCTTCTTCTCTTGTTCCCGCCGCAGAGCATTCTTTCGAAGTTCTGTGATGTCTTGAGCGATCTGGGCCAGTCGGTCGTTGTCCTTGGACCGGAGTGTCAAATTGCGCAGAAAATGTGCGGAGAGGTCTTCGAAAGGCTGATCATCCTTTCGGCCCACGCCTTGACCCGGTGAAAGAAAATTGATTCGGAGGTACGCATACTCTCCCTCGTCACTTTTGCTAGCATTTTTGATCGTGTTAATATGGAAGGGTACTGGCCGACCCATAATTGGCACAATAACCGTGGAAGCCTTCTGATCTACATAAACGGTTAGGTCTTTCACCCTCGTTGGGAGCTGATTGTCTCTCTTGTAAGACTCGAATCTCTTGAACTTTTTCTGTGTGACTCCGTTATCATCGCCAGTCGTACCGGCAAATCTGTCCAGACCTTCCTTGGTCTTTTTGCCAGCCAACTCCTTTTGATGCTCACGTCGCCGTGCTTCGGCACCTTCATTAATCTGAGTGGGTCTTTCAGCACGAAGCTTCGTTCTCGTAACATTCCTATTGGCAACAGAGCTTGATTTCGCCTCCTTCTTCTCCTTTACTGGTCTCTGTGGCTCTTCTTCATCCCCAAAGTAGAACGATACAGAGTCCATGTCAACACCAGCATCTTTCGTAAACACCAGAGGCCCGGTTTCTCCGACGCGAACAGTGTCTGTAATGATCATCGAATAAACGGTTCTATTCTTGTCTTTGATGCTCGCGTCTTCAACGTCAGTCAGACCAACTGTGACAGCAAATGTCATTCCGCTCTTCAAAACTTTATCGTTCTTTCCGTTAAGAACCATATTAGCGTCTCGAAGCTCAATTCCTATGCCAGCGCCGACGGTCTTCAGGAAATGAGATTCAAGCTCAGGCTTCTTTGTCCGAACCATATTCATCGCCTTGCTGTATAGGTCCTTAGCCACGGCCCCGTCACGGACGTCTTTCAAAATCGCTTCGCGGACGTTTAGTAGAAAGGCGTAATTTGCCTCCTGAGTTTTCGTCGGGTCAACTAGGTAGGTGCGTGCAATCATCGAACTGTAGGTCTTGTAACGAATGCCGAAGCCAGCAATTATTATTCCCGGCTGCAAATTGTTGTTGTCGGATATCGCAGTCAGCTTGAGATCATATTTCCCTCCACTTTGGATCACTGGTCCATATGCCCAATCGATTTGTTGGGGGTCAAATTCGGCCGGCAATTTCGCTAACTTGTTGAAGAATTTTGCGTCGTCTATTTTCGCATCAATCCGCATTGAAAGAGCTTTGTGGCTCATCTGCTTCTCTTCATCAAGTAGGCGGGACATTTCATCCACGAAGTACTCAGACATCAGACCACTGCATGCCCGCGATGCATTACGTATAGATACCTTTGTCGTGTCAGCCAGTCACACATCCGAAGACATTTAAAACTTACTAATTCATCAGTATCCTTGACAGAGAGAGTAGCTGAAAGAGCGGGCGAAATATCAACTTCCTCAACTTCATTTGACAATGTTGCATAAGCCTTCTTCCAATCTTCTGCGAAAGGACCTGCGGTTGTGTCTTTCGGCAATACGCCAACTTTTTTCTTATCATTTCAGGACAGTCAGTTCCATCCAAGATCGCTAACGCTGAGGACAGTAGGACTCACACCGGCATTTTTGATAACGTCAATGCACTTTTCGAAAGATTTCATCTTCTCATCTGGAGTCTTGGATGTCACTAATATCTCCACCGGAATCTTGCCACCCTTCAAGGGTTCAAGGTGCTTGGCTGCAAACAAAATGTGCATGTCAGTCATCGAGGCCATGCTAAATTCATATCTTATGATAGAACTCACCTTTTTTCGCGGTAGTCACCACATACACCATCTCCGTCGTAAAAACAAGAAGCGTGGCCGGAAATTCATAGCCAAGGAGCCAGAACTATTTATGGTGGCAGGTGAGCCGACAAGAATAGGATTAAAAGGTAATGAAAGACATACGTGCATTGCGTTGTTCTTCTGAAAGCTGTTCGCTTCGTCGGTTTTGCCCATTAGGATCACGATCGACGACACCCCACCGAAATTGGCATGACTAGATCGTTTGTCGGCTTTCCATGCATTATAGAAGCTTGATAATCTATTGAAGAAAGTAGATTTGTCTATCACAATCTCTTCGGCCATGATGTGAGTATATCAATCGGTGCAGCCTGCCAGCTTGGCGTAAACACTTCAGCTTGTGCAGAAAGTCCCCGTAGGAACCTTAGAAGGTAGGGTGAGATTTAGTGGAGGTCAGTGAGCGAAGTTTCGTATTGAGAAATTCAATGTACTAGATTTGCGGAAGGTAAAGAAAGAGATATACTGGAGGATATCTTCACTTGAGCAATGGAAGAAAGTAGATTGAGACTCATCGACTAGCTCTTACTTCTGTAGAAGAAACTAAGATAGGGTAGCGCAAACGCGAAACCTCCGAAAGCGCGTTCGCTCAAGTGTTCCTGACAAATCAGCGGTGTTTGAGTTGTTTGCTCAAAAGTACCCTTACATGCTTAGTACCTCTCCACCTTAAGGCTAAATATTTCATCTCGGACATTGACTTCTTCAGTATCTCGTGGGCTATTCACTTCTACGCTCCTCATATGAAGCTGCCATTCTATTTAGTCATCAACATTTTTCATAATAGCTATCCTCACCTTACGAGTTAGCCCTCATTCAGTGTATGATGTGCCTCTGATTAGGAACATCTTTCATGGAATCTTGCAGCGCGGGCTGGCAATGTCATTGGAATAAGCGCTATGCTTATATTTGTATATCACTGATAAACTGTCACCTCTAATGCTTTCTCACACGCCTCAGCATGGCCACTACTCAAACATTACCCGCATTTGATCATACCTCGAGCTTGGACTCGGGGAATCCGTCACGCAGAAAATCGCGACAGAATGCAGCTACTGGTGCCTCTGCTGCGGGGGTGCGGGCTCTTAGTGCACAATTGGTTGCATTCTACTTCAGAGCACCTATCAAGGCATTTTTTCGCACCCGAGTTGAGTATGATACTAGTCTGTCTCATAAGTATTGTCCCTTCAGTCACTGACAGCCCATGCTCTTGTTCAGTTATATGGTATGCGGTTGCATTGTTCCTTCGCCGGCCCGGTTGCACTGATCTCTGGAGTCCATGTCCACTGATATATATGGCTCTTCCTGTTATTTCGCTAGGCCTTCGCTAGAGCTGTCAATCCTCATTCTGCGAAAACCGGTTGGTCTCTGCACACAACTACTCCGGGGTTACTTGTCCATGCCGTACGCACATATGGGTGGCGCTTCATCCCTAATCAAGTTATGCCACCTCTCCTAGCGAATGCTGGGTTGGTCTACCTAGTCTCGAATTTGGTTGCCTGGGTTGTCTAACTGTTATAGATAGAATTGGAGCCGTCCTTTACACGTCATATCTACAAGTCCTTGGCGCTTTGTACGAACCGGCGTCCCAAGGCATCAAACGCGTATATCCGCCTGCTCCTCCTTCAAACACATTTGCAGCTGGGTTCATAGCGGGTACAATTCAGTCAGTAGTAGCCGCTCCTCTGGATGCGCTTCAGGTCCGTCTCCGAGCGAGTGACTTGCTTGAGGGCCCATACAAGAGCATGTGGCATTATGGCCGCCATAAACTCAATCAAATTGGAGTTCGTGGTATATTCGCAGGGTGGGGTTTATCCTTCACTCGCGACGCTTTTGGTTATGCAGTATTTTTCTCTTTCTTCGAGTTCGTGAAGTCGCAGGCCTACTATTCATTTCTGACCTGGTACTACGGCTCACGGCGGACTCATTACGCGGAACAGTTACAGCACATCCAATCGAGTGACCGCGGCGTACCGCTCATAAGACCACATTATGCTCTGGAGCCATGTTTCTTGATGGCTGCAGGTGTTGCAGCTTCAGTTGCTCAACAGAGTATACAGCACCCGCTAAGTGCTATCCAAAGTCTCCATGTTGCTCGCCTGGAATACATTGACCATCAAGCGAGTCTTCATCCCTCAAGACGGGAAATGCTACGCCTGTATTACTCTGCGTACCAAGAAACCTTGAAGAGATGCAAGAGAAAGGCATCCAGAGCAGGTGGCTGGCGTCGTTGGCTGTTCCGTGGGTTTGCAAGGGACGCCATCCGTCAAGTACCTAGCACTAGTGCAGGCTTGGTGATATTCGAGCTGGTGCGTCGAAAGTACGCTAATATGGCAGACGCTGTATATATCCAGAAAGATGGCTATGACATTCTTTTGACTTGATAAATATGCTGGTTTGATCATTGCGCTTCCCCCAGGGGGAAGAAAAATGCCATTGGCTATCGAGAAACGATGTGTAGTGTATTCGGTATAACCGCTAAGTTGATTTCGGATAGAAACTGTCAAGGTGATATAAGTTCATTGTCGCTCGTGGTCTATGAAAGCTAGGTATACATAGTAACGACGAATCAAAACAGGCGATAAACAACAATGTCCTACGGACGAACTATATTTTCTCCTAACACATACAAGGAGTCTGTCTACTTGTGTGCTCCAGACGATAGCCGCAATGACCAGCCAGCTTTGCGTCACTCCTTCTGAAGCATTTCGTTGTATCACGAGTAATTAGCCGAGACATCACAAGCCTACAATTACAGGTCCATGTATAGGAGTGTATAATACAGAGATCAATGATACGATACTGATTCCTGGGTCTATATGGGCTCTTTTCACATAATCTAGGCTCTAAAGGGATCCACCCAAAGATATGCCTTGCATGACAATGTTGTTGAAACAATACCACCAAATGAGACGTTATATATAGTCAGAATTGAGTAGCGACTCTTGTAGGTGAGAATCATGAAATCCCGCGCCTCATATAAAGTCATCTTGATCTTCGTAAATATCATTAGGCACGAACTGGAAGGGTACCCTCGTTGATCGCACCGCCACAGATGGAATCGCTGATGGGCACTGCCGGTAACATGGTTGGTACACTCAAGTACTACGTACGTAGTTCACTGGGCAGAATCTCGTACCCACTTAGCGTCAGTGTTTGCGGGGTTCTCCGAGGACCCCCATCTAGGTACGTAACGGTAGTCACATCGATGGCTTGACAGCTGCCTCCCTAAATCATGGCTAGCCCCCCTGGGAAACCCAGCAAGCAACCTTGGGACGGATTTATGTACACAAGCCAAAGGTTACCTCTGGACTGATTGCCAAACATATGCTATTTAGCCTTAGCTCATCTTGCTTCCCTTTGTCCCCTCTTAAGTTTTTCACCTGATCATTTTTGGACCTCCGGGCACCGTCATCCTGCGCTGTTGATCTGCCAAGTATTGCCTGTCTCGTGAGCGAACCCCCCAAGGATTGTCATCACCGCTTTCTACACCCTTTCGGTATCCTTGTGAACAGTTGGTTCACCTCACTCGCTTGTCTCCGCTTTGGCGCGTGGTCTTCCATCCTATTGCAGCGATTACTCTGCACCGCTGTCCTTCTGATCCATCCCTTCCAAATAGATTAGCAGTTGTCTTTACATGCCGCTTTGATGAAAACTCACAACTCGGATTGTTGCGGAGCGTTACGAAAATTACCAGCTCTCCTTGATTTTTACTCGCAGCGATCTTATATTCTGGTCGCGTGAAAGAGTGGTGACAGAAAGAAAAAAGCTAATATTCAACCAAGAAAGGGGGGCTGTAAATCCCAGCCCATTACAACCGCCAACATTCCTCTCACAACGACCCCGACCCATACTTCCTCTGGCATACCCTTGCAAAATCTTCCTTCAAGTTCAAGGTCCTCTGTCCCTCAACCCGCTAAAGTAGTAGAACCTGCTAGTGGGAGGAGCAGTCGACGCTCTTCCTCTATAGCGACTCACTCCACTGGGTCTGAGCATTTCACCTGGACTGACAGTGGAGACCTGACGGAACAGCTTGCTAATGCCGAAGATTATCTTCGGATCCCACTCAGAAGCCCTGAAGATCGTGAAAGCTCTGGTCGGGTGGAATCCAGTGTACGGATCGAGAAACAGAATCGTGTCCATTACCCCAGCCAGCTTGTTATCGGCGAAGACGACTTTGAGAAGATTGAAATACCCTGCCCTCCACCCCGGAAGATTCCTCGGGCAGAGCGCCTCTTAGCTGTCATAATGTCACCCAATAATCGACAAAGTGCACACTTGCATGGCTTGGTTGGGAAGCCATTACTGTAAGAGGTTTCGTCATCGAAAAATGTTACCTACTAGCTCTGCTGACCAGCTATGTAGGTACTTTACGAGTGTTTTCGTATCCTTGGGTGTCTTCCTTTTTGGCTATGACCAAGGTGTTATGTCTGGGATCATAACGTCCGTCTTCTCTTTCTTCAACGGAATGGAGGGCTTTGCTGACACACGATCAGAGGCTGGTATTTCAAGGATTACTTCAATCAACCCTCGCGAGCTGCAATAGGTACGGTGGTTGCGATCCTCGAAGTAGGGGCTTTCATATCTTCTCTACTTGTCGGTCGACTCGGCGACTTAATCGGACGCCGCAAAACGATCTTGTATGGCTCCATAGTATTCTTTATTGGCGGTGCATTGCAGGCCTTTGCTACCGGGTTGCCTATGATGATGGCCGGTCGAATCGTCGCAGGTTTGGGCGTTGGAGCCTTATCGACAATTGTACCTGTCTACCAGTCTGAAATATCGGTATTCACAATCACCCTTGTTGCATATTGCTTCGGTTGTTTTGCTAATGTTCTCTAAGCCTCCCCACAACCGAGGGAAACTGGCATGTATCGAGTTTACAGGGAACATCTCCGGATACGCAGCCAGCGTCTGGGTGGATTATTTCTGTAGCTTTATAGAAAGTAATTACTCGTGGCGCCTACCATTATTGTTCCAGTGCGTCATGGGTGCTCTTCTTGGTGTGGGTAGCCTCATCATTTGCGAGTCGCCAAGGTGAGTCCATGCGTGATGCAGGAGAAAACTTAGCTTTTCACCATGCTAATGCAAGACTAGGTGGCTGTTGGACAACGACCACGATGAAGAGGGTATGGTTGTCATTGCAAATCTATATGGAAGTGGAGACTTGCACAGTGACAAAGCCAGACAAGAGTATAGAGAGATTAAGATGAACGTTCTTCTGCAAAGGCAAGAAGGCGAAAGATCTTACGCTGATATGTTCAGGCGTTACTACAAAAGGGTCTTGATAGCGATGTCGGCACAGGCCTTAGCTCAGCTCAACGGTATTAACGTCATCTCGTATTACGCCCCGCTTGTATTCGAATCAGCAGGTTGGGCTGGCCGTGACGCTATCCTAATGACTGGGATCAACGCAATCTCATATCTGGCCTCTACAGTACCTCCATGGTATCTGGTGGATCGCTGGGGGAGGCGCCCCATCCTTCTTTCTGGAGCGGTGGCAATGATTGTTTCACTCTCCCTGATTTCCTATTTCATATATATCGACGTCGTGGCAACACCTACTCTCACTGTCGTTTTTGTCATGATCTACAATGCTGCTTTTGGTGCATCATGGGGACCCATACCATGGCTCTACCCCCCGGAAATTCTCCCATTGAGCATTCGTGCAAAAGGCGCAAGTCTTAGTACAGCCACTAATTGGGCTTTTAATTGGCTTGTCGGAGAGGTCACGCCTGTTTTACAAGCTGCTATCAAGTGGCGCTTGTACCTGGTGCATGCGTTTTTCTGTGCCTGCAGCTTTGTCCTGGGTAAGCGCCATGTCAATTTTCCCATAATTAACCAAAAGTCTAATACATTACTACAGTTTACTTTTTATACCCGGAAACGAGTGGTGTCCGCTTGGAAGACATGAATTTGCTGTTTGGGGATGCAACTACTGCCATGCCAACACCAGCAACTCAGGGAGAACGTGGCTCTCTCATGAGTGCAGGCTCTCCTGTACCTTCGCTTGACATCAGACGCCAGTATGGCCGTCTGGGGCAGACAGCGCCATTCCTGGCTTGGACATTGACCCACCGAATGTAAGTTCTAGTACCGGTAGCAAGCCTGGCAGGACAGGCTTCCGGGAAGACACTAGTAGTCGACCAGAGGGCTTTGGAGGCTGGATTTCAAATATGATTACCCGACACAAAGGATCGGAATCAACAGGACAGGCCGGTCAGTATAGACGTCTTGGGCAGGAGGAGAATGAGTAGGGCCACCGCGTATGGTCCAGTCTCATGTAACAGATACAGACATATAAACATCCTGTTGCTGTACCTACCTCTTTCACTCTTGCTTTCTCTTTTCATCCTTATGTACACCGACTTAACTGTATTCTTTACCTTTTCTCGTGGACTGACACTAGGATATTCTCGACCCTGGCCTCGCATATGCTGATCTTGTCGAGGCTCTATTTCGATCTACTGCACCGTTTTCTCTTTCTGACATCATCTACATGTATGCATGTAAATATATACCGAGACGTATACCATGTCCCAGAATAGGTTTTCAAACATGACAATTTGTGAAATCCTTGAAGCGTTAGGCACATATCGCGCCATATCCTACTCCGTGACTTCAGAAATGAGAATCCGCGTGCAACTAACATCTCGAAGACTCAGTATTATCAAGGGCCTTTCAGGCTCAGAGGTATTTCTCTGACTTGCATAATATGCTACCACAATCCAACGATGTGGAAGGGTGTGGTAATAAACGATTAAAGAAAAATGAACTCTGGTCCCCTTGCATATCATAGTACCAACGAGATTATCGAAAAAGAAAAAAAAAATCATTTCGTACGTTTTATGCCGACCTAGATACATGAGAAGCTTGGGAAGCTTACCATGGCACGCATTTGTGTCCCTATGTCAAATAAAGCACCCTGCCTCTCATAGTGATAGCGTAGACGTTATTCGTCTAGGTTCGGGTTTACGACCCTCGTCGCGTACACACAGCCAGCGCAAACTCATTCATTATCAATATATACCCCGAACCATCTACGAATTGCCCGTGGCTCCTCATGCCCCGAAGCCAAATCAGCAGGCAGATCACACCGCCTTCCTCCTCCTCCCTGAAAAGAGGTGGAGAACCTTTACATTCGAACATGGAATGTCTAACCAAACAGCCGGTGAGGTAGGATACGCTGACTCAACCAAAATGTTCCCATTCATACTTTGTGCGTTGCATAATTGCATTCGATTCGACAGATTGGCTTTCGTCTCCGTGAACTTTCGCAAAATACCGTAAAAGGCAAACTTCATCAACTCCATGGTACCTGCTTGATAAGTACTTTTCGTTAATTGACTGTCAGATGCCTGTTCTTATTGGTGATACTCAGTCCAGATTGAATTAAAGGAGAGCAGCAAAAGCTGGAATCGCCAACCCACGGCATTCTCCGTTTCTGCATCGCATTTCTTTAATATCTTTAATCCGCGACAGTGAGGCACGGCGGTGATGAATCATGACAGTAATAAAGCCCGGCTAGACAAGTATGGGGAACATTGAAGAACCAGTTGAACAGTAAAGCCACTTCGAAGCATCTGGGACCAAATTTTTGTCCAAGGATGGGAAGGTTGACCACCCTTTGAACAGTCAGTACAATTTCCATTGTAGAGGTCTCACACATATATGATGCCACAAATGGCAGTGCCATACATGCCTGCCCCCATTAGACACGCTATACCTCTCTCAGTAATTCGCCGTCATTGCCGACGAACAAGACGGGGGATGCAGTCGAGGTTTCAGAAGTGGCCCAGGCGGAACGGAGCTTTCAGGCCACGCGCCCGAGCTTTCCGTGTTATCTCCAGGCCAACTCGCCATTTGCGCTTCCACTCCGTCTTACATTCTGAGTAGGGAACCCTTCGAGAGGCTGACTTTCTTTCCCACCCTCAACATTCGACCCCTTTTCTTTTGCTTCCGATCTTTCTATTCTTCCCTTTCATTGCCTCAAAATTTCAGATTGTTTTTATTAATTTAACAAACCTTCCATTCTTTACCTTACTTTACCCATTTGACACTGGTTAAGCGGTGTCTGCTCAATCTATCCTGATTTCCCCTCCATACTTTTGCCTTGTATTCTCAAGGTACCTTCTCATCGGCCCCTCTCTTCTTTCTTCTTTCCTCTCTCCAGACTCTCAACAAAAGCTGGAGTACTGCACGCTAGACCAATCATTGTGATTTTCTCATAAGAAATGTTTGCAACTCACACTTGAAGTCAATCCCAGCGAGCTGCTCTACATTCAACCAGCTTCCTGTGGCAGTCTGATACTCTTTAGTTGCTTTCTCTTTCGCCACTCCCTGTCCCTGCATTTGTTTAGCTGCCCATTATACCGCAATTATGGCGGGAGTAAACCAGGCGTCAAGCTCTGGGGTTGATCTCTCCTCTGAAGTGCGGCGCAGAACTGCCCCTCTTACGCAGGAGCCCAGCCGTGCTCCTGATCATGATGCATATGATGCCAAGAAATCGAAGCAAGAGGTATGATGCTCGCCTTAGACCGAAGCTTTATAAAGCTTGACTGCACCTGATAGCCGGTAATATTGACGCGTGTCTTAGCCCTCCTCGTTTCGTTCTGCGGTGGCCAGCTGGGAGCCTATATTTGCGCCTCTCTTTCTGACTGCTCTGGCAATTTTTACTCGAATGTATCAAATTGGTCGTTCAGATATCGTGACATGGGATGAGGCACAGTAAGACCAAAAACCTTTCCATTTCAATATTTCTTTATGCCAGTATAGAGTGCTAACGTCTTGTCCTGATAATAATATGCAGCTTTGGAAAATTTGGCTCACACTATCTGAAGCGCGAATTTTATTTTGATGTACACCCGCCTCTGGGGAAGATGCTAGTTGGCTTGTCGGGATTTCTTGCTGGTTATAATGGCTCGTTCGAATTCAAATCCGGTGAGAAGTATCCCGAAGACGTCAACTATACGTTCATGCGTATTTTCAATGCGGCTTTCGGCGCGGTATGTGTCCCGCTTGCTTACTATACCGCACGGGAGCTGGGTTTTCGCAAGGCTACTGTCTGGCTTATCAGTCTGATGGTGCTATTCGAAAACTCGTATGCCACTATCTCGAGATTCATCCTCCTTGATTCCATGCTACTTTGCTTCACGTTTACAACCACATTATGTTGGGCCAAATTTCATCGACTGCAGAAAGCTAGTTTTTCGGCAGAATGGTTTGCGTGGCTCTTTCTCACCGGCGTGAGCATTGGCTGTGTCTGCAGTGTCAAATGGGTCGGTTTCTTCTGCACCGCTATTGTGGGCCTTTATACAGTTGAAGATCTATGGAACAAGTTTGGCGACCTTAAAATGCCTGAGGTAAGCGGCTTACTGGAATGAAACGACTTCAGCTCGGTGGTTAATGCTCGGCAGGTTGTGGTAGCGAAACATCTAGTTGCTCGCATAGTGGGCCTAATCATCGTGCCCTGCATTGTCTACATTCTGTCTTTCTATGTTCATTTCTGGGTTCTCGAGAATAGTGGTCCAGGAGATGCCCAGATGAGCTCACTTTTCCAGGCAAACTTGAAGGGCACCGAGGTCGGGAAGGATAGTCCTCTTGAGATAGCACTGGGATCGAGGGTGACACTGAAAAACATGGGGTATGGTGGTGGACTTCTCCATTCGCATATCCAAACGTATCCTGAAGGGTCAACACAACAGCAGGTGACGTGCTATCACCACAAGGATTCCAATAACGACTGGTTCATCTACCCCAATAGGTATGAGCCGGACTATGACCCCGAGGACTCCTTGAGATTCGTCGGTGACGGAGACATCATCCGTCTAATCCATGGGCAGACGGGTCGGAATCTACATTCGCATGCTATATCTGCACCAGTTACTAAGAGCCAGTTTGAAGTCTCCTGTTATGGCAACATTACCATCGGCGATGACAAAGATCATTGGGCGGTTGAAGTCGTTGATGATGTTGCATCCAGGGACAGGAGCAGGATTCGAACTCTTACTACGGCATTTCGCCTGAGACATCCTGTCCTGGGCTGTTACTTGCGTGCAGGAAATGTAAACCTGCCCCAATGGGGCTTCAAACAGATTGAGACCACATGCGTGAAGGAGAATAAGCCCAGTGATGTCTATACTCATTGGAATGTCGAGTCACACTACAACGAGAGGCGTAAGTTTACCCCTATTCAGATTGTGGCGACCGGATATTGATTTTGTTACCTAGTTCCACCAGGTGATCCCGGATCTTACAAGTCTCCGTTCTGGAAGGATTTTATCCATCTGAATGTCGCTATGATGACGTCCAACAATGCTCTTGTCCCTGATCCGGACAAGCAAGATGACCTCGCCTCTAAGTTCTGGCAATGGCCTATACTCAATGTGGGCCTTCGTATGTGCTCCTGGGATGACAACACCATCAAGTACTACCTTCTCGGAAACCCTTTCGTATATTGGGGGAGTACTTTGAGTCTTGGAGTATTTGCCCTTCTGGTTCTTTGGTATCTCGTGCGTTGGCAGCGAGGATATACTGAACTTACTCAAGCGGATATTGACCACATCCACTATTCCGGTCTTTACCCAGTCATTGGGTGGGTGTTGCATTATCTACCTTTTGCAGTCATGGCACGAGTGACTTACGTTCATCATTACTATCCGGCACTCTACTATGCCATACTCACATTCGGATTCTGCGTTGACTGGTTCACACAGCCGATGAGCAACAAGCTACGTTGGGCGATCTATACCTTGCTTTACTGCGCGATCGTTGGCTTGTTCGCATACTTTCGGGCTATTGTGTTTGGTATTGAAGGGCCCAGCCAGCAGTGGTCTCATTTGAACTGGTTCAGTGGCTGGCGGATTGCCAATTGAGCCGTTCCATCTCATCACCACCACCGTAATCGCCACCCTTATCGTCAACACCCGTTTACATATACCGCTTCTCGTCATCGCTGTACCTCATATGCAATACCATACTTGTCACTACTATTGTTGGCTCGTGGACTATCTACTCTAGTCAGCTGTAAGACATTTAGACTGGCTGTGTTTCAAGTTTTGGTATAGGCGCCCCGCGCCTCTGTTGTGTAGCAGTCAATGTATATTGCTTCGCTCTTCTGTACCAATTACCTCGATCCTCATTGGCTCGAGATGTATATAAACTAAGGTCACAGAGATTACTGGGCGAAATCTGTGCCTATTCCATATTCCTACACAACCATATCTCTCCAAGGGCGACTATAAAGACCCGTTACATGTTTCCACAAGATATAGTCCCGTGACAACTTTGAACAACAAGCTCGATATAAGGTATAATATCCTGTATCCATCAACAACAGCCTCCTGCCAGGCCACTTCCACCCTTGCGCATGGCATCATCCAAGCCTAAAGTGACAGTATTTGGGATACCTGAGTTTGATCCACCAGTAGCACCATAGCCCTTCACACCACTTCGACGGTCGTAGAGGTCATATTTGCCAGCTTCGATGTTGCGGTATATCATCTCGGCTACCTCAAGAAATGCACGCTCCACGTTCTCTCCGGATTTCGCGCTTGTCTCAACATACCGTGTGATGTTATTCAAACGGCACCATTCCTCCGCTTCTTGCCTAGTGACTGTCTGATGCGATCTCGACTCATCAGCGGCAAGATCGCTCTTGTTGCCGACCAGAACAATTACAATGCCATCTTCCGCAATTTGCCGCAGATCATGGAGCCACTGTGTGCACGATACAAATGTAGAAGGTCTCGTGATATCGAAGACCAGTAGGGCACCCGAAGCACCACGGAAATAAG